GATGAAGAAACAAGACAGACAAATAAATATTGCAGAGCCCACATGTTGTTCTTATCACACCAAATGGTTAAGAACTCGTAAAAACTACCATTTCATTGGTCACTTTATGTAGAATGCGTCTTTTCCTTCGTCAACAGCCATGGAGATGGAGGCAGTATGTTCCTCCTAAATGTTGGTATCTTCCCAGAAGTTCACACGACGTCGTAAAGGAGCAGCCTAACATCGATATGTGGATTATCTATTCCGAAACCATGCTTAATTCTTTCGAAAGAAAACATTGGCTTCTCACTTATCATATATCTTAGCCTATGTGTGACTGTTCCACACATCAGAGTTAACCAGGAAAACTGTATGATCGTTGTCCGGGAATCTCACCGACGAAAAAGTCCTCGAGCTCGTAGTGTTTTAGAATGACTGCAAACATAATTACTGGGCGTTTAACATAAGCAATCAATAACATTACTGTGTAGGCCAACAGAATTTGAAAATGTATAATTAAGTTTAGGTCGACGAACACAATTTGGAAACACGTAAGCCTAATTTCATTAATTATTAAGGAGAAACATGGCTGTTATCCTGGTGCTATTTAAGTTTCAGGACGGGCTTGCATTGAAATGATTGGACGAACAGCGACTGTAGGAAAATCTCGTGTAGATTTCTTGTCACGCCACCAGCTTATCATTCATATCAGGTAATTTGAAGTGCTATTCTTTGCGACGTTAAATTACACGAGCCGGTACGAAAGTACCTGTAAGGCCTATCCACGTACTTTGACAATAGACAGTACTCTTTGTTGAGACTGTTAAAACAACAAATGTAAGAATGCTTCAATCTATTTTGCGTTCTTCACACAGAATGCACCGAGTGAACGAAAATAAGGACGGTCCTGTCCGTCTGTTTCCATGTTTTATCTTCGCTAAGATTGAACAGGTTTTATGATGCGAAACTTTGAAGTTATGTCCGGTCGGAAAATACTCCAGAAACTGATCTCTAAATTTTTAATTGAATAAAAATTTTCTTGGATATTATCCATCGTCTAGTAAATATAAAACGTAAAACGACGTTTCGGAGATGGGACTCCGTCTTCAGGTTCCTACACAGTTGGGCCCACTAGATAGAGCTAATCCCTATCTCCGGACAAAATAAAAAGTGAAAGTCCCAGAGTAAAAAGGCATTACCACACCATCCATCCATGGGACGTAAAAGAATAGTATGTAAAATCAAAATTCATAAACACGATAAAGCCAAAAAATAAAAACTCACAAAAAAGGTGGGAATAAATACACATGAATATCAGCTCGAAACTCGATGCCCAACTTGGATTTCTTCGGAGATTACAGGTATCCAAATAGGAGATAAATCCAAACTAGGCTGGCTGATAGGGTTGGCGAGTAATGCCATGTGTGCTGCCTCCTTATATTTTCTGTAGATGGTATTAGGTTCTGTTAATAATACTCTGGCTCCATCCCAACTGTGTAGGAACCTGAAGACGGAGATAGAGTCCCATCTCCGAAACGTCGTTTTTCGTTTTT